CCAAGTACTTAAAAGATTTTATATTTTAAGAATTACAAAATTAAAAACGATTAACAAAAAATATAACTTTCTACATTATAAAAATAATTATATATTATATATTAATTTATTTTTATATAAATATTATATATAAAATTAGACAATTTAAGAATAATATTAAGTTAGTTAAAAAAATATTGAATTTTAGATATTAATTTAATATTATTTTTAATAAATAAAGATTTAGTAAATTAAATAATAATAAAAAATATATTATAAAAATATATATATATTTGTTTGAATATTATTATCAAAAACTAAAATTAGTTAATATTAAAATTTTTATATAAATAATTAAAATTATATATACAATTTATATTATTATTTATTTTTATCTTTAAAAACATAATTATTAATTATAATAATTTTTTTAAAAAATATAATTATATATAAAAATGATTGACGAATAGAAATAAAACATTATTAATTAAGTTATTTTATTATTTAAAATATCATATATTTAAACTTTTTAAATACTATAGGTTAAACACTTATTTGAAAAAGCTAATTTTATGAAAAATTAATCATTAATAAATAAAATTAATAATAATTTAAAAATGACTATTCCAATTGAATTACTAAAGAACGAAAATGTTTTTGATAAGAATATTTCATTAGATGAATTTAAACAGGTAAAAAAAAATACAAAATATATATAGTTATTATAACAATAAAAATATTTTTTTAAATGATATAAAAATAAAATTATATCAAATAATAAATAATTATTTAATTACATATTTTTAATACACTATATTTATTTATTTTATTTTTTTGTAATATTTTATTTTTAGATTTTATAATCTGAATCTTTAAAAAATTCTATAAAATTAAATTTAAATGAAAATACTATCTCTCCTACTTGGAAAAGATTAAGAAATATATTATATTTTGTATAAATTGATAATTTCAATATAGATGCTTTTAAAAAAGCAATTTAAAATAAAATTAATGAATTATAAATATAAGCTGTAAATATATATATATATTAAAGAAAATCTATTTTTTTTATTTTTTTTATTATTTTTAAAATTAAATAGGATATTTTTGTCTAAAATGGGTAAATAAAAGTTGTTATAACATCGCCAGGCTAAGAAGAAGTACATACTAGATAACTATTCAATGAATTTTACACATCATAAATTAACGTATCAATTTAAATTAAAAAAAGTATCAAAGTTTAATATATTTTTTTAAAAAAATATAAGAATGTTAAAGTAAATTGTTATGTTGAAGAAGAAAAGTTGCTTGTTTCAAATTAATAGATTCCTATTTAACAACATTATTAAAATTTTAACTAAACAAATCCCTAGAATTAATAAATGTAAGAAAGATAAGCATATTAATAGTACATGCAAATGATATAATTACAATTTTAATAGATGCTACAATAATAAATGATTTAAAGTTAATAACAATAAAAAGGTTAATAAAGAGGAAAAGTATATTAAAATAATAATTAAAGATACTATTAATAAAATATTATTTCTAATCAAATGTAATCTAGAAATATTGTAAATAATAGACCTTAAAAATAAAACTATAATAAGACATAAAAGAACTATTAAAATAATAGAAATTATTAAGGAAAAACTTATGATATGAAAGCTGAAGATTTTCCTTCATTTAATTAAGCTAGATAATGATATAATAAATAAATGAGTTTTTAAAAAAAATTTATTTTTTTTTTTTTTTTTATTTTTTTTTTTTATTTTTTTTTTTCAGAAAAAAAAAAAATATATATATATATACATATATATATATATATATATATATATATATATATTCAATATTTTTTCTGTTTTTTATTTAATATTTAAATTATTTAAATTTATTAATTATTAATACTTTTTTTAAAAAACAAAGATTTTAAATTTTTTGTTTTTAAAAATGACAATAAATCAATAAAATATGATTTCTGCTTTATTAGAAAATAATAATGAATATATCTAATATAAAAATAATTAAAGCCTTCTTTATAAAATTTAAGATTCTTTATAAAGGCAATATTTTAAAAAAGTAAATTTTTATTTAAAGTGGTGGAAATTAACATATTCCATCTAAATTTAGCTAATAAAAAATGATTTACCTAAATAAAATAAACGAATTGACTCGAATAAATATAAAAATCAACAAAAAATATAAAAAAAATACAATAAAAAAATGGAATAAAAAAAATATTATACAATTTTAATATAAAAAATCAAATATTTATAAATATATACTTTCATTAATTAAAAAAAAATAAAAATTATAAATTATTTAAAATGGATATTATTTAAATATTAAAAATAAAAAAATTAATCTGATAATATTTAATAAATTTAATAGTACTTTTAAATAAGTAATTTCACTATATTATATTTCTCGAAATGTAATAGCATGATATTATTTATTTTTAATAAGAAAGTTTTAATTAATTAGTAAAAAAAAACATAAATATAAATATAAATATAAATATAAATATAAATATATATATATATATATATATATATATATTAGATGGAAAATATTTATAATTATTCTAATATATTTACATATGAGGGGATAAATTTTTTTGATTTAAATTATATTTAATAAACAAATCTATTTGATAAATCTGATAGGGATAAATATAAATTTTAAAATATACATTTAAAAACAATAAAACATATTAAAGGTATCATAGAAAATTATTTTTAAAGATTTTAGAGTCAATATTGAAATAAATTTTTTTTAGAAAATATTAAATATTTATAGTAAGATTTAGAACTGTAAAAAATATAAAAAGTATTTTATGTATATATATATTTTTTTTTTTTGTAATATAAAAATAAAAATTTTTTTTTGGGATTTATTTTAATTTTATAAATAAAAAAACAAAAAACATTGCTTTTTAAAAAATAAGATCTAAGTTATAATATTTATTTTGTAAATATAATTAATAATGATTATAATTTTATATTATTTAATGCGATATTTGATAATTTTTTGTTACTTATTTTATATATTTAAAAAAATAAATAGTAATTTTTATAATAATATTTAAAAAATAAATAGTAAATGAATGTATAAATTCATATTTAATTTTTTTTTTTTTAAACTGCAAATGAATAAATAAAAACAAAATAATCTAATTAAAGATGATTAAAAACTTTATTTTTTTAATATTTTTTTTAATATTATTATTAAAAAGTAAATATCAATTTTATAATTCATCAGTAAATTTAACATTTATATTCTTTTTTTTAGCTATTTGTTATTATATGCTAGGTTATTTCTAAGCATTTTTAACTGTGTTTTCAAATGTTTCTTACATTAATTATTACTCTTCATCATTTAATTCCCTTAAAATATCCTAATTTGCATATAAAAATCTCTTATATAATCTTTCTCTATCATTTCCTCTATTTTTAGGTATAATTTAGTGTCTGTTTAATAATGCCATTAAAATTGTTACGATAAAATATGCAATCAAAATAATTTTTAAAATATCAAAAAAATAACTATCATTTATAAATGAAAGCATATTTTTAATAAAATAATAATTACTATTTTAAATTTAATTGTTTACTTACATATTTTGATAATTTTCGTCTAAAATATTAGATTTTTTACCTATATATTTATATAAAAATAAATATATATTTAATAATATTAAAAACTTTTTTTTTTTTTTTTTATAATATTATAAATTATAAATTAATATTTTTTTAATACATTAATATTTTATCATTATTAAAAATAAAAATAAAAAAAAACTAAATTTACTTATAATTATAAAAATAAAAATAATTTTTATTTAAATTTTTTAAATTAAAACAAATACATAAAATAGATGAATAAAATATAATAATACATAGGCCCCCCATCAGTGAGTTTTGGTTTATTAAACATTTTATCAATACTAATATTTTACGCCAAAATCGAAAAAGATGTATATATCAAATGGTGGATAGTATTTTTACCTAGTATCATCCACTTAGCATTTACATTAATACAAACAATATATTTTATAACATTAAAAATGAAAGAGTAAATTTAACATTTAGAAGAATTTGAAAAAAACAATTAATGATATGGAAATTTACCCAATTAATAATTATTTCAAGCCTAATTACCACGTTTATATTTTTGGCTTAATACTTATAAAACATAGATGATAAAGATTCAACTGAAAAAACTATAGATTCCCTAAATCATATTATATTTTCAATATCGATTATATTTATAGCGTATATCGGTTATTCATTTATATCAAATAATATAATCATAAATGAACAATTACCTCTTTATTAATAATAAGAAGATGGAACTTCAATTAATTATACTTAACTTATTATTAATAGTATACTTAGTATTATGGGTAATACAATGACTATATGTGCTGGAGGTGCTTGCAATAGTATTTATTTTTCAACTATAAGTGCTTTTTTTAGTGCTTTTGGGATACCTATTTTCGAATATATTCATTATTTGAATTTTTTGGCTCTGATTTTTATTGCTATATCTTTACTATCTTTATATTCAGTTAAAAATAGTTTTATTTACGGGCCTTTTATTATTAGCTTTTTTGGAAGTGTATTTATTATGGGTGATATAATTTTTGGTGTGCATTAATATCTTGTTTATGGGGGGAATATTTTAATTATTGGAGGTGCAATCTGGAATAGTAGATTAAATAAATTTACTTTTAAATCTAAAAAGAAAAAATAAACAGTTTGAATATATACACAGACTTATTTTTATATTATTAATCTTTTGTTTTAATATTTATATTTTAAAACAATTATTTTTTATAAAATTAATGATTGTTTGAAAAATTTACTAATATAATTAAATTTCTTATAAGCAAATATTAATTTTGTTAAATATAAAACAGAACAGAAGGCATAATTTACAAATTTATATATTTAATATTAATTAAGTTATTAAAAAAAAAATACAATAAAATATAAAATTAATAAACAAAAATAAAAAACTCATTTTTTATGAATAGGTAAACTAAAAATGAATAAAGTTCCATGTTTAGACCCATAAACAATATAATTTTTATTAGTAGGTTTATAATTTTCTTAATAGCAATGTAAAGACCTCCATCTTAATCCACTATGTGAAGATTTTATTTCTTTTAATAATTATCCATCTAATCCATCCCAAAGTTTAATAGTATGGTCACTATAATAAAAAAACTTAATAATTAAAAATCGAACTAAAATAAAATAAAATATAAAATACTTATCAGCTGCACTTAAAATAATATTTTTAAGATTCAGACCATCATTAACTTCCCAAATAGCTAAACCTCTTATCATTCCTTAATGTGCATTTTCTATTTTATAAACCTTTTTTTTTTTTTTTAATTAAAAATAAAATCCTTTATTAAATTTTAAAAATATACCAATTTATTTGTATGGACTTATATAGTTCTATTATCAGAAGCCATAACTAATGCATATTATTGATTTTCTCCAAAAGTTGATTAAGGATAATATTTTAAAACTTTCATAGTTTCCAAACATACATTCCAATCTTTATCATTTCTATAAATAGTATTTAAACAGTCTCCATTTTAATTGAAGACCTTTACTGTACCTTAAACAGTTGCAAAGCTAACTGCTATTAAATCTCCATTAACAATATCTGATTCTAAAAAATCATCTTCTAATTACCTGTATTAATATCTATTTCCTTTTTTTTTTTTTTTTTTTTTTTCTTGTTAAGAATTTATTTATTTTTAAATAAAAAATAAACCTAATTTTCTATCATCTATTATTTTTTAATGAAAAGCATCTATTTTTTTCCTTATTTAATTAATGTTCATATTTACTGTACTTGTTTTTCGTTCAATTCTACACATAGAAACTATTTCTTTACCATTTTCTCTTGGATTGATTTATTTCACAGTTAATCCTCCAAATATTACCCAATCAACTATTTCTAATAGATTTTTTCCACCACTATTAAATACAAGCCTATTTATAATTTATATTTATAATAATTAATATATAAGATAAATAAATATTTTTATTATTTTTTTAACAAAAATCAAATAGAGACCTAGAATGAGGATGTTCTAAAATGATAATTTCATTTAAAAATTAAGATTTAGTTTGAATCTCATTAATACATTTCTTTTATATCCAATTCCAGACTTTAATTTTGCCATTTTATCCACTTAAAATAATATTAGAACAATCGGAGCATTATTAAGTAAGTTTCTTTTTTATAACATTGTTCATTTTTTAAGCTTTTAATACAAATATCTCTTTATCATGAGCTGACATAATTTCACTATGTAATTTAAACTTTAAAAAATAAAAATTTTAATCATTTTATAAAAATATTTACATTATATAAGCCTTCACCTTAATAATTAATCCAAAATTTAATAGACATATCATCACCACAAGTAACAATACATACATTATCAATAATATCTTGTTTAATTCCTAAAATATCTATTTCTTAGTCACTCATTTCAAAGCTAATAACCTTTATTTTTTTTATAAAAAAATATTATTTTGTTTTGTTTTGTTTTTTACATTTCTTATCCAATTTTAATGCGCAGCTTAAATTTTTTATTATCTTTCTAAATTATCTAAATTTATTTTAGGAAATTCTTAAATTTTTTCAGAAGGAAATTTAATTTGTGTAAGAGAATCCTAAATTTTATAAAGAGAAGTATAAATAGTTTATAAATTTAAAAAAATAAGTTCTGATTTATCACGTAAGATTTTTTAAATTTTACTCAAAAAAAGTTCTCTTAAAATATCTTTTCTATATATTTATTTTGTATGGGGATAAAATTCAAAATATTAAGTTAAATCTCCAATTCGTTTATTATATTCAATATTATTCATTTTATTAGAATTATCTTTTATCTTATTTATAACTTCTATAATTTATTATGTATCTCTTTCTCCATATTCCTTTTTTTTATTTTATTTTTTGATAAATAAATCAAAAAATATACTTTTATTTATTAAATAAAATTCTTTGCTTATTCATCTATTTATTATAAATTTTAAATAACTTTTTATTTTTGTTAATCAATTAAATATTTAAAATCTATAAGCATATCATTTATATCTTCTTAATTACTTTTCCCTACTTCATGTTATTTTAGGTGATTTCTTATTTACCTTAAATAAAAATTAAGATCTCCTTTAATTATTTTTATAAATAAACAAATTCATATATGCAAAAATATTTAATATTTTTTTAATTTATAATTACCAGATTTCTCTTAATGGTCATAATGATCATAAACTAAACATATAGGGCATATAGGACCTCTATTTACACAAAATAAATCACTGCAAATCATAGTAAGTTTTTCTTCAGGATGAATTGAACAAGGACGATGTGTACTATTATCTGTTTATGTTTAAAATCCATCATCTGATTAATCACTATTAGTTTCGCTTTTATTTGCTTTTTAACCATTTATTAAATTTAATTATTGGTGGGTAATATTGCTTTAAGAATTTATCTTTTTTAAACGTCCTCTTTAAGATGCTTCTATATTTTACTATAAGTTTGATTTTGAGGTACTTGTCAAATTTTATTATTACATAGTTTATTTTTATTTTTTGTTATATATATATATTGTTAAAAATTATTTATAGATACTGATTATTATATAATTATTTTTTCTATATTTTTTAATTTTTCAAAAACTTAATGAAAAAAAAAAAAAAAAAGTCATTATACAATTTTATCGTATTTTTTGTTTTCGATTATTAAATGTTTTTTTAATAAAATCAAGGATAAATAAAATAACAACATAAATAAATAATATAAGTAAAATATTTTATTTATTATTAAATTATACATAAATTTAAAATTCGTAATATATTTATATATTTAATTTTCTGTTTATTATTATTATTAAAATTACATTTTTTTCAGTAAGTTTTTTTTCGATTTTCACATTTATTTAAAATCGAATTTTAAATAAATTATATTATTTTTAATATTCTATTTATAAATGAAAAGTTAAATTATTTAATAAGTTTACGAAAATATATTGTTTTAGATAATATTATTAGATTATTTTTAATTTTACTTATATATTATAATTATTGTTTAATTATTTTTTATAACTTTATAAAATTTTGTAAAATTATTAAAATGCAGAATACATTTGAAATTAGTGAATAATTATAATATTATTTGAATAAATCATTAAAAACCTAAAAAAAAATAAACATAAAGATTTAACAAATAAAATTAAAAAAATATATATATATGAAATTAGAATAAAATAACTTATATAAAAAAAGTATAAATTTGAAAAATAAAATAAAACTAATTAAAACATTCTTAATTGTTATATTAAAATTATTATATATAATATAGTAAACCAATTCGTAATATAAAGCATGTTTAAAAATACTGTTATTTAATTTAATAAAGGGAATTATAAAAAAAGCAAAATTAAAAAATTAATAATAAATTATTAATAACTTTTATTTTTTAAATCAAGATTAATAAGATTTTTGAAACTAAAAAAATTTAAATTAGATATAAAAATTTATTTAATATATAGACAGTCTTATAAAAAAACAAAACTAATATTTAAATCCCCAAAATAATTCTGCTTTAATGGAAAAGTTTTTCATAATAATTTTGATTTTATAAATTTTAAAATAAATTAAAGCAGTATTTATCTAATATAATTTTAAAATAAATAAAGGCGAATATTAAAAATAAATGATATAAATTTTTTAATATAATATATAAATTCTAAAAGATTATTTTTATAATAAAAGTAAAATTAAAAGCTACCTTAAAAAAAAAATTAATTTTTTTTTTATAATTTATATTTTATTTTAAATAATATTCTGCTATAAATATTTTTACATAAAATGGAATAAGATTTTAATATCACAAATATAAATATTCCATTTTTTACTTAAAATATTAAATCTTTATAAAATCACATTGATTTAGAATAAATAAAATCAGTAAATAATAAGTTTTATATATTTATAAAAATAGCTCAATTTTTCATTTTAAATAATAATAAACAAAAAGTAATTAAATTAAAATGAAATGTCAATCAAATGTGGAAATTAGAGTTAAATTCAAGTATAATTAAGCAAGAAAGCCAATTTCAACTTAATATATAAAATTAAAGTATTACAAAACAAACAAAATCCTGAAAAAAAAATTTACTAATTATAATAAATTGGATAAGCATAATACAAATATGATTTTTAGGATTTTTAGGATTTAATATTTAACCCTTCAATAAATGAGGACGAGATTTTCGATTCATATAAAGGTTTATTTTTATTTATTTATTTTTTTTTTAAAAAAAAAAGATGAAATATAACTATAAGATGAAAAAAAACCTAAATTTTAAAAAGATTATGAAAATAAAAGAGTTTATCATTATTGTATATAACCAAATACATTTATAAAGAATTACAAATTAAATAAATTAGATTTTTTCCGTGAAAATTAATAATAAAACTAAATTGTATAAAAAAATAAAGGAATAGTCAATTCTTTATAAATATGTTATGGTTAAAAGAATATTCCCTAATAAATAAAATTAAATTAAGATTAAGAAAAATACAAAAATGATGAAGTTTTTTAAGCTGTTTAAAATTTATTTTAATAACGTCCTATTTGGATAAGAAATAGTATTATTTTTCATTTAAGAGCTATGAATATAAAGCTTACAATATTTAATTTGAGGAAGTAAATTACTTTTCTTTTCTTTTTTTTTTTATTATAAATTAAAAATCAGAACTCTTGCTATGCTTTCTTTTAATTATAAAAATGGACCTTGGAAACATGCTTATGTTAAGTTTGGTTATAATCCAGAAGAAAATAAATATGCTATTGATTATTAAATTATTGATTTAGTAGTTCAAGATAAGGACGAATATAATTATGAACAAATCAAGGATTTTAATCCCATAAAAAATGCTTATGATCCTTCTTATAGAGAAAAACCTTAAAATTATAGACATATGTATATGATCTGTGAAATTATTGACGATAACGTTTAAAAAGCTTTCAAGAAAATAAGGGAAAAAATTGAAAAAACTGATAGAATTCCAAATAAAAAAACTGGATGGATGGATAATTCTGACTTAAAAAGATTATAAAAAATAATGAAAGATAAGTTTAAATTTAAATGATTAATTTTAAAATTTTATATATATAATTTTTAAGTTTTTTGTTTAAAAATAATTTTATTTATTTATATATATAAAACATAATATATTTTTTTATATTAAAAAACAAAAAAATCCATAAAATTTTATTTATGAATATTTTGAAAAAAAAAACATATAATTTTTTCATAATTTTTCATTCGTTTTTTTTGCACAATTAATATTTTATTGAATTTTCTCCATAAGCACATAAATAATCAATTTTATTATTTTCATAAAAATTATAAATTTCAATAATAGCTTATATAGTGATGAAATTTTTTTGGGCGTATTTTTCTAAATTATCAATAATTTTCCATTAAGCAACATAATAACTTATTATACTTCTTATAGGAAATGAAGTAAAAAATATATTTACTTCGGGCATTACAAAAACTTCATAATCTTCATATTTTTTTCTAAAATTATCAATTTAATTAAATTCAGTTCTATCAATTAATATTCCATACGAAAAATTCACTTTTTTAGTATTTAATTTTTACTAATAATCATATTGAAGTATAACTCCTATTTTGGATTTTTTAAAAAAAGAAAAAGAATCAAATTTTAATTTTTCTATGTATTAACTATATATATCAGAATATTTTGCTTAACCGGTTTTATATATAAATGTTATTCCTCCAAATTTATGTTATTCTATTTTAGTTCTGGAAATAATTCCATATCGTAATAAAAGTACAATTACTATAACGAGAATAGTGATAAGAATTTCTATATTCATTTTTTATTTTGTAATCTTTTATATGATTTTGTATAAAATTAATTATTAAGTATGCTTTTTATAAAAAATGTATTTTTATATACAAATAAAAATATCTTTTTTAATATTATTAATTAGTTTATTTGTAATGTATATATTTATTTTTGATGAATATATCTATATCCAAAATAATTATTATATAACTTTTAAATGATGTATTTTTATTTTCTCAGTATTTTTTTAAAAAAAAATTAATCAATAAAAAAAAGACAGTTATTCATTTTTTAAAGGCATATGAGTTTTTTTTGTTTAACAAAAAATCTAATAAAAATTAAAAAACAAGTAATATATTTAAATATTAATTACTATTTTTTTTATACTATTGAAATAATTTTTAATATATTTTCCAATTTAATTTAACTTAATTTGTATATTTATTAAAAAATTATAAAAATAGCATTTTCGGCGTATTACGAATAAATGTAAATCACCTTCCATTATACTAAAAGTAAAATTTCCTCATTATTTAGAAAAATAAATAAAAAATTACATAATTTAAAAATAAAATTGAAAATTAAAAATTAACTATTATTTAAAATTAAATAATAAGTTTTATAAAGATTAATTTAATTTATATAGCTTTAGAATTTGAAAAACTGATAAAATTTAATCTTTTATAACTAATTGACTCTCACATCAAAACACAAGCCTATAAAGTAAAACTAATAAAACTTAAAAATATTTTTTTTTATTTAATAATTTAGAAGATATTAATTTTAAATTAATAAATAGTATAAAAATCAAAAGAATTAAGAAAAGATCTAAATTAATAAAAATAAAAAGATTTTTAAAGTTATATTAGTTTATTTATAAAATAATTAGTTAATTAGAAAATAATAATATAAAAAAAAAATTAAATAAATAAAAAAATATAATTTAAATATTAGGAAACATATAATATTTTAGTGTATTTTTGATAATAATAGATATTTATAAATTATAATTATTATATTTAAAAATAAATAAGTATATATATATATATATATTTATATATATATATATATGTATAATTTAAAAATCAATAATGATTTTATTATTATAAAAAGCAAAGTAAAATGGCAATAAAAATAATTGGAATGTATATTAAAGTTGAATTAAAATTAAAAATAACTATATATTTTTAATGAACATGCTATATAAGTTAAATTAATTATTTATAAAATTATTAACTTAATTAAATTAATTTAGGAAAAAGATTAAGAAGGTTAAACGAAATTTTTGATTGAAAAAAATAAAAAATTATATTAGAAATCGAAATATAAACTACTTGTTTATTCGAATAATAATAATAAATATATTAATTAAAAATGTTTTATAAACATAGGAAATATTTATATTTAAAAATAATTAGTTAATTTTAATAAATATCATTTATTTTTCAATCACCAATAATTAGTTTAATATTAATAAAATTAAAAATGAACTTTATAAAGGTTAAGATATGCCTTAATCTTACATATTAATTAAATATTAATGAATTAATGAAATATAAAAATATTTTAATATGTAGTTTTAATGAGAGAAGCATGAATAACTAAAAAAATTATTTTATAAATAAAAACAAAAATTTATGAAAAAAAAAAATAAAAAAAAATAAATTGAATAAATAATATTTAATATATTTATATAATAAAATATAAGAATTAAAATAATAAATTGAGAAGCCGCTTCGAAAAAAAAGCATAAATTGTAAAAAATTAAGAATAGGCTTAACATTTAGAATATAAAAATGAAATAATATGATAATTATCATATACATATAATATAGATAATTATTTGGAAAAAAAAAAAATAATAATAAAAATTATTAAGAAAAAAATATTTATCATCAATTAAATTAAAAATTAATTTTTATTTGAAATTCATTAAGTCAAATTTTTATTATCAAAAATAAAAAATCTATCTATATATTTATGATAAAATAATGATTTAGATTAAATCACATACAATTACCTAAAATCATAAATAAATTTTATTTATTAAAATAATTCATATAATAAATAATATAATTAAATAGAGATGTTAAATCTCTCAAAGATATCGGAAAATGTTTTTTCTTTTTTAATATTTTTTAATTTTTTTTTTTAAATAAATTTAAACGAAGAATCTTAAAATTCTATAATAAATCATTCAAACTAAAAATAAGATATAAAATTATTGAATTAGTAAATGAATTATCTATTAGATAATAATAATTTAAAAGTTAAAATATAAATAATGTATTCTTAAATTAAAAGCTTAAATTAGAAAATAATTGAAATAAAATTAATACATCTAATAATTATAAAAATAATGGTAATCATTAAATATATAAAATAACTACTAATAATAATTTTATTGAATAAAACGCTATATTATAAATAAATCATAATTAAGCATTAACTATATTTTTTTATTATAAAAAATGTATAAAATATATTTATACTTTTTTCTAATAAATTTGTTTGTATTAATAGCAAATAATTAAGAGTATAAAAATATTTTTTATTTTTATATAATAAAAGGTATAATTTATTTATTTGGATAATTTTATTATAATATATATATATATTATATATAATATTAAGATATTAAATATTTTTTTTTATTTGCTAAAATTTTATGTCAAAATATATTTTAATATTTTTATGTCTCTATATCTTTTAAGAAATTTAATATCATATTAAATATTTCATTTTTTTAATTTTTTTGTTATAATTACATTAAAATAAACGTTAAATTTAATTAAATTTGTTTAAAATCATATCATAAATTTTAAAAACTATAAAAACTTAACAAATTAATAAAAGTAATCAAGAAACTTTTTTATTTTTATTTTTACAAAATAAAAGGATAAAAAAATTATTATTATTAACAAAAAAATAATAAAGCTATTAATAATATTTTTTATAGATATATATTTATATTATAAAACATTAAATATTAAAAAAAAAGAGTTATAAATATAAAAAATATGAATAATCAATTTAAATAATAATGCTAATTAATAGAAGAAGAAGTTATTCCTCAAAAAACTAGATCATTAAGAAGAAGTAATAGATAAACAAAAAATACAAAGCCTGTATTAGATGATTTTTAATATAAATCAGAAGAAGAAGATGAAGAAGAATTTTAATAAGAATAAATATACTAAACACGTTATACAAGTAACGCTAATAAAATAAAATAAGCTCCAAAGTAGAAATAAAATAAATAGTAAAATAATAAAAAAGCAAAAAATAATAAGGACGATGAAGATTTTTAAATAGAATCATAAGAAGAATCATCTTCTTATTCTTAAGAAGAACACTAAAAATTCCAACCAGAAAGTTCTAGTGAAAGTATGCATATATTTAATGACAATTCCCAAAATAACGAAAATAATTTTGAAAATGATTATAGTGAAGAAAGTAGTCATAATGCAAATACTTTTAGGCAATATTTTAGTTTAAGATCAGTAGAATAAATATTAAAAGAATAAGTTAAGTTAAAATAAGAACGAAAGAAAAAGAAAAATGAAGGAGTAAATTAAAATGAAATAACAGAAGAAAAAACAAAAATAAATAATAATAATAAAAGAACTAGAAAAGAGTTTGAGAAATAAAATAAAATTGTAAATTTATTTAATGTTCCTTAATTAAAAATAAATCAATGGCCTAAATATATTGGCAGTATTTAAATTAAAGCCAAGATTCAATTTGAAATTCACAATTATATGAGAAAAGTAGAATTTATAAAAATGAAATAATGGGCAGTTTCTGTTGCATAAAATTTAGAAAAAGGTTAATCTTTGGAAGTTGATTTTAGACCCATAGATGAAAATAGAAATACTAATTTAACTTTAGGATTAAGAGCATCTAAAATGCACACTAATATATCACTAAATTAATAAACAGTATTTTTTATAAATAAAATATATTTAATATATATATATTTAAATATATATATAAATATATAAATATTAAATATATTATAATTTTTATATTTATTTATATTTTTATATAGTTTGGTATTTTCGAACATAATTTTTGTGAAGTATGGAATTTATTAGCACATAAAAATTACATAACAATAGATGCTTTTTGTTTAAACCCTTATGAAAGTTCTAATGTGTTAGATTAATCAAAGGCATTTGATGTAATGTTGGATGTTTATTTAAACTAAGATTTTGTAAAAAATCCTATATTATTAGTATCAAAACATGAAGAATTAGATGAAAAAGTTGAAAAAGAAGAATAAGAAGAAGAAAAAGCAAAGAGTAAATAAAAAAGAACTAAATAAGATATGACTACATAATAAATATAATAACATTGGGATATGGATTATATAAGATATATGAAAGAAGTAATTCCTTTATTTATAAGTTTAATGAAATTAAATATAACAATTTCTCCTTTAATCCAATTAAAAAAGAAAAATTAATTTGAACTTATTAAATTTTTAGCTTTGAAAAGAGCTCATTCAACCCTCCCTCCTACCTTTGTTTTAAAAAATGAAAAAATGCGTGATTACTATAGTAAATCGGCTCCTGAAGTTCTCCAAAATGCCATTCCTTTATATTTATATGACAACCTCGAAGCTTTAAGTGATATGGATTTCGAATACGGCGACATGAATGAAAATACAAGAGTTTCTTTAGGTTTAGTTAAAGAAGAAGAAAAAATAAAAGATGAAGAAATGATAAAACTAAACGAATAATTTGTTAATTGTAACCAGTCTAAATATTTTATTTTAACTGAAACTCCAAAAACAATGTCGTGTTAATTATTCGATTATTAAAAATAAGGACTTTCTTGGCTTATATATAGAGAAGGAAAGATTTCGAAAAAAGAACTCTATGCCCTCCATATTGAAAAATATGAAGAAGATCGAGAATTAAATCCTTTTTTTTAAGAAGTTGAGCTTCCAGATGGTTACAAGTTTTACCATAATGTATTTTCAGGATATATTTGCGAAAATTTCGTAAAAGCAAAGCATACTTATGGTGGTATTTTGGCAGATTAAATGGGTTTGGGCAAGACTTTGATGAGTTTAGCTTTAATACATCATGATATTAAAAATTAAAGGAATTTCTAGAAAAAAAACAAGAAAAATGCAGGAACTTTGATAGTAATGCCTTTAACAATGTTATAATAATGGGAAAGAGAAATTGAAAAAAACTCAATTTTAAAAAGCTTAATAGTAATTAATTTACACTAAAAAAAAACTGGAAGGAAAAAAAGTAACTCTAAAAATGATGAAGATGAATTCTTATTAAATCAAATTAATGAATCAGATATAGTTTTATGTCCATATAATTTATTAGGTAGTGAATTTGTTTAAAATTCATTTATTTTTGAAATTAATTGGAATAGAGTTATATTAGATGAAGCATAGAAAATTAAAAATAGAAAAGCTTAAATTTCTAAGGCCACATTTGGATTAAAGGCTTAAAATAGATGGTGTTTAACTGGGACTCCTATAGAAAATAAACTAGATGATATATTTAGTTTATTAAATTTTTTAAAATTGGAAACTTTCGGTGAATGGTTTTGGTGGAATTCTTATATAAATTAAAATAATAATGATTAATTTGATTTGCTAAGATAAATTCTAAAACCAATTTTATTAAGGAGAACGAAAATATCAACTGATAAACATGGGAATGATATTCTCGAATTGCCTAAAAAAAATATTACTTTATAAAAAGTTAAACTCAATAAAAATGAAAAAAAATTATACGATTTATTACATTCAAAAAGTAGAGCTTTATTTCTTGAATTAAATAAAAAAAAAGGTAGTCTTGGTGGTTAATCTAATAATTAATATATTCATATTTTCTAAATTATTTGTAAATTAAGATAATTCTGTGTACATCCATCTTTAGTTTTTAAAGATGTAGATACTTCCAAAGTTAAAAATTTAAATCTTTTAAAAGAAATGGTTAACTCTTTTCTAGATAAATACAAAGAAAAAATATAAAAAACTGCTTCTTTATAAATCAAACTTGAAAATTAAAATTAAGTTTAAAATAATATTGAAATTTCAGATAAATATAAAGAAGAGTTATTAGAATAAATAAATAAAGGATTATTCAAAACATGTCTAATATGTTATGAAGAAATAGTTGTTCATTCTTTATCAGTTTGTGGACATGTTTTATGTTCTGATTGTTTCTAATAAAGTATTTAAGTAAAATAGGCTTGCCCATTATGTAGATTCCCTTTAACTAAAAAAGATTTATAAAATATAGTAGTGTATGGAATATAATATATAAATATATATATAAACAATTGTATATATATATAAACAATTGTATATATAAAAAAGTTAAATATATAAATATATATATATATATATATTTATATAAATTTTATATTTTTATATATTTATATATTTATATATTTTTATATTTTAAGTGAAAATATTTAACATGGTTAAGAAGATTCAAATGATTAAAATGATGAAGCTTTAATGAAATATAATTTTAATAATCCCAATAATATTTCAGGTTCTAAAGTTATTGAGATTCTTAAAATAATAGAATAAATTCATAAAAAAAATGAAAAAGTCGTTGTTTTTACTTAGTGGATAGGAATGATAAATATTTTAGATCATTAATTATATACAAAAAAAATTCCTTATGAAGTATTTTCTTATTAAAATAATTTTTTTAAATTAAATTATTTATAAATTTATTAAAATAGAGATTAGATGGAACCATTAAAATTTCTGAAAAAGAAAGAATATCTAGAAAATTTGAAAATAATGAAAATAATAATAATTAAACAACTGTTTTACTTGCAAGTATTAAAACAGCTTCTCTAGGGCTTAACTTAGTAGCTGCAAATAATGTTATTTTATGCGATCCTTGGTGGAATCCTTCTGTTGAAGATTAAGCAATAGAACGAGTCCATAGAATCGGCTAAAAAAAAGAAGTTTTTGTTTGGAGGATTATTTGCGAAAATACTATTGAAGAAAAGGTTATTGAATTACATGATAAGAAAAAATAAATGATTTAAAAAGCTTTATCATCTAATGAATTTTAAAGAAAGGAAGATGCTATGCATGATCTTGAATTTTTATTAAATTGATATATATATACAGTATAAAAAAATTAATTTTGTAAGTTTATTATTTTTATTTTTCTAAATTAAAAAAAAATATTATATAATTTTTTAATATTTAGTAAATTTAAAATAAAAAAAAATATTATTTTTACATATTCTTTTGATTAAAAATATTATTTATTTAAAAGCAATTTAAATTTAAATAAGAATAAATTTATTTTATTAGATAAAATTAATAACAAAATAAAATAAATTCAAAAAAATAATAAATAAAAAAATTAAAATATAAATTATAATATTTAATAACTATATATTTATATTTATATCTATATGTATATTTATATAAATTTAATTTTTTTGTATCAATTAATAGATTTTATATACTATTTTTTTTTTCAAATATTATTACTTTTATTATAAACTTAATTATTAAATAATTAAGATAAATCTATATAATTATTATTAAAGTAATTATGAGGTAGACTTCCATTAACATTACCTTTTTATAAAAATTAAATTTACTATAATAATAATTATTATTAATAATTTGTTTAATCAATTAATTAAAGTTATTATTATTGGTAAATAGTAGGATTCTATTATGTTTATTAATGATTTTGTTATTATTGCTATTATTATATTTATTACTATTATTACTATTACTATTACTATTACTATTACTATTACTATTACTATTACTATTACTATTACTATTACTATTACTATTACTATTACTATTACTATTACTATTACTATTACTATTACTATTACTATTACTATTACTATTACTATTACTATTACTATTACTATTACTATTACTATTACTATTACTATTACTATTACTATTACTATTACTATTACTATTACTATTACTATTACTATTACTATTACTATTACTATTACTATTACTATTACTATTACTATTACTATTACTATTACTATTACTATTACTATTACTATTACTATTACTATTACTATTACTATTACTATTACTATTATTATTATTATTATTATTATTATTATTATTATTATTATTATTATTATTATTATTATTATCTAC